TTGAAAAAATTTACTTACATATAAATTTTATATATTATATTTAATATAAAATTTTAATAATTTATCTTTTTACTTTTAATAATTAAAATTTGTTACAAATTTGTTTAAATAAAAATATTATTATTTTTAATAAATATAAATAAAATTCAATCATTAAAAATAAAAATAAAAATAATTAAAAATTTATATAAATATGATATAAATTAATAAGTGAATTTTTATTTTTCTTAAAATATGTTAAAGTTGACATGGAAACACTGAAATTAATAAACAAAAACAAAAATGATGAACGTTTAGTGTGTGTTCGGTTGGAGGAATATTTTATTCTAACTTTTTTATAAAATTATTTATATATTTTCACACTTTAATGTAAAAATAAAAGAAGGGAAAAAAGATATTTTTAAACTTTAATTTACCTAACACAATTTTTAATTAATAATTTTTTTTCTTAAATTAAAAAAAAATTCCCAACTTTTTTATTTTTTATTTTTGGGACATATTTGACAACTCTCATACAAATTTTTTTTACATTAATTTCTGACCAAACACCAAAAACTTAATAATCTAATAAATTTTATTAAAATTTCATAACAAAATTTATTAACAACCTATACAACACTTTCTAAATACTTTCAAAATAAAAACTTTCTCACTAAAATTTAGGGGTTAGATATTAGAAAGTAGCCGGCCTGGTAGATGCTCCCACGGTGGACGTGGACCTTAAACAAAAAAAAAAAAGTTTCAGCTAATGGGCTTAAAACCATTATATAATATATATTACTTTGGATCGTTTGATGTGGTCCAAGTGTTCTGGGCCTGAACAACAACTGAGCTAACTCAAGCAATGCTCCAACAAATCCACCAAAGAGCAATGTACCATAGCCAGGGTCAAATAGGCGGTATTCCAGTTGCCCCTGGTTTTCGATCCCTCTCTATATATGTAATAGATTTGCGGACCCAAATCCAATCCAGGACCGCTGGTTGTATCTGAAGACGCGAAGAATCGAGATCAAGATGGTGGGTCAGTTGACGGTGACGAAACCAAGCCGGAGCGACGATGTCTTGGACCCTGATCAACAGCAAAAAATCACCGCCCAGGTCAGGGCGAAGTTCGATTCCCTGGCCCCCAAACGACCCGCCAAACCCAACAGAAGCGAACCCGACTC